GTTGTGAGAGTGTTGTTGGAGAACACACAAACCAGCATACAGAGACACTGCAGTTTAAATAGGCTTTTACTTTCGTGGAAATAGAGGTATCAGAGTCCATCAAACAGTCCAAGTCATACACGGATAAGACAGTCAGTCATCAATGTCTTTCAGTTAAGGGATAGTCCAAATAACACAGTCCATAATCATACAATCAGTTCAGAACTCAAAGTTTGCTAGCAGTTGCAAAACTTACAATAGCTCACTCAGATCAGATCAGCCCAGCATCTAACAGAGAGAGCTAACAGTCATTCTGGCTCCCTCTTATGGCCGATTGAGGAAAACAGCAACCAATCACATTTTAGAGTATGATTTAAAGAAACAGTTACAACATTGTTACATGATTTATGTATTGCCAACCCAACCGTTAGGATTATATTCCTAACAATTATGTTTCTCTTTTCCCCTAGGAGTCTGGCAGTATTGGGAGCAGGTAAGAATTTTTTTTAAATTGCCTTTGTTCACGGCATCTCTACCTGGGGTTTCTGTCAGTTGCAAAGGATCAGGGCCGTAAGTTAAATCGCACTTCAGAAATACTGCTCAAGTCTGTACACAGAAATCTAGTCAACTCAAGTTCAAATTTGAATCTGCGCCAGATAAAAGCCAGTGGAGTTTAGGGGAGCGGGCTGTACTTGAATCGCTTACGGCAACATCATGATTCTAAGCTAATGATGCATTTTAGTCCCCAACCCCCAGTTTTGTCTGCTCTTCTACAGTTTCACCCAATGCTTCAAAATAAATCTCTCCCTAGCATAATGGTGACTAATCTTTTTGTCGTTGTGTGCTGAAAGCGAGTGGGTGCCCGCACCCATAATCTAATGTGTGCACAACATACCCACCCTTGCGCATGCGCACCTGACCCCCCACCGCACTCCCCCCCATCGCATGTGCACACGACCCACCCACTCCCGCACCCGGTTTTGGGCCTAGTAGGTCTCCCTGCAGCCTCCTGGGGAGCAAAAACGGGCTACCGGTGGTAGTGGTTAGGGTTTCAGCCTTTCCGCCTGCCCCCACACGTTTGCGCAGCAGAGACACGAAAATCAGCTGGCCAGTGGGACAAGCACGCCCATGCGCGGTGGAGCGAGCTGGGGTGATGACTTGCGTTTGCCATCACGCCCCTACGAACTTAGACCTGTACTTGGGATCTCGCAGCGATGAGTTAGATGTCCGAGTTCATAATGTATATTTATTGTACGTAGAAAAAAAGCACTAATAAAAATCAGCTGTTACAGGATCAACAGCCCAGTTCTCTTACCGTGGCCCAAATGGTTTAAATGTTGTCTTTTTCTCCTGCCCTTCCAAGTTTCTTTTCACTCCTTCCTTGCAATAGAGGAGAATATCTGTAGTTCATGGTTCAACTGTGGCATCCTTGGTGCTCTCTTGAGTTTGGATTATGCTTGCCGACGTTTCATTATCTGACTAGGTAACACCATCAGTTGCAAAGGAGTGTGAGGTTTTGCTCTTTTGCTCCCTCTTTTATATTCAGGGGTTTGACCTCCCAAGATTAAAGGGGGCTTCAGTAGACTAGGGAACATCATTGTGTGAGGCGGTTATGAGACTCAGTCCTATAAATTTGTGCTTTGTGATCATCCCAGAGTCATTCGTGTTAAATTCCTTTTCTCCTTTCTCTCGTTTGGGATCCTCAGAGAAGACGACGAGCCGCTGGCTGGGAGGCTAGAGGAGATCAAGCAGCGCTACGGCAATTTGTGTCAGAACAGCACTGTTTTCCAAGAAATGATACTGCGGCTCAAAGGTCAGCCTCCTTTTGTTCGGAGTTTGCGGGGCATCATATGTTTCACGAATCCGAGGGGGAAGACAAACAGCTGACGCAGAGCGGGAGAGTGGCTCTGTTGGTTGTGGAGGATACTGGGGAAGGGCAAAGTCAGGTTGGCCAGAGCCGGGAAGAGGTAGAACAAGGGAGAGGGGGTTCAGATGAAGACCAAGGCCCACCCCTTCCTCATCTTAGGGCACACAGGGAAGAACGGAGAAGAGAGCAATGTGTGTTACGTGGCTTACGAGGGTGGAAAGGACCCTGATTCTCTTCACAAGGCACAACTGGGGATGGAGTTTAAAGGAGAGGCAAATGGGAGGGGCTGTTGTCGGTAACAAATGCTGAGTTCAGCTGGTATTAACTGCTTATCTGAGTTCCTGGCATCCTCCCAATTGGTTTGATTTGTTGCCGTGTTACTTCACTTGTGGAACTCCCTTCTTGCCCTGCCGGATTAATTACCTTATCTTGCCTGGTTGGATTTATAGTTGGAAGTTTTCTGCTTACAACATTTGGACTAGAGTATTTTCAGCCAAAGGCTACTACAGGTTTGTGGAAGAGCTTTTCTCCAAACCGGAGAGTTGAAAGGGACGTTGGGGGCACAGTTGGTGTTCCTAAAGGGACTCGTACCTGTACTCTGGCTGTGTTGCCTTTGTGCCACACCCCGGGTCATCACAATATGGTCCCAGGAGGCTCTGGTGATACTTGGGCTTTCAGTGGACTCTTAGTCGCTCCCTTGGCCCAGTCAGGTTTTTTATTCTGTTCTGTTTTTCTTTACAACTATCTGCAGTGTTCTTGGAAACATTTTTGGGGAGGTTTTGCCCTGGCCTCCTCCTTCCTAAGGCTGAGAGGGAGGAACTGGTCCAAAGTCACTCAAACCAGCTAAGGTGAGACTAGAACTCGCGATCTGCTGATTTCTAGCCTTGTGCCTTTAACCAAAAAAAGCTAAATTGGCTCTCTTCTGCTGCACCTAATTCAGTGTTTCTCAACCTTGGCAGCTGTAAGAGGTGAGGACTTCAATTCCCAGAATTCCCCAGCCGGCCATGTTTTGTTAACTGGTGTCTCTCCTTGGTTGGGAACTTTTTGACTTCTCTGTTCTCTTTGTTTTTCTGCAGCCGGATGGAGGAACCAAAACAAGGAGCGGGATTGTTTGCCTGGGGGCTCGGAGCGACTGCAACTGAATAGGATGATGTGGGGCGGAGACGAAGTCAGCTTTCCCCCCAGCATTGGGGGCCAGTTGGACAGTCCCTCGAGGACGGTGGACTGTCTGCTGGAAGCCAGAGCTCCAATTTCGATCCCGTTTGGCGGGGGCTTCTTTGACTTCAGCGAGTTTGCGGTCCAACAGAGTTTCCTCCAGAGGAAAGGCCAAGAGCTCTCCAAAACGTTTGGGCCGGGCCTGAGCTCCAGCATGGTGGAGCTTCGGACTCCGGAGAAGCCGCTGCCGGCGGAGAAACCCTACGAGTGCAACGAGTGCGGGAAGAGCTTCGGCAAACTCGCCACCTTGAACACACACAGCCGGACCCACGCAGGGGAGAAGCCCTTCAAGTGCTTGCGCTGCCACAAGGGCTTCAGCCAGAGCTCCCACCTGCAGCTACACGAGCAGACCCACACGGCGGAGAAGCCCTACAAGTGCAACGAGTGCGGGAAGAGCTTTGGCAAACGCTCCACCCTCAACACGCACGGGCGGACCCACACGGGGGAGAAGCCCTTCAAGTGCTCCCACTGCGACAAGCGCTTTAGCCAGAGCTCCCACCTCCAGCTGCACGAGCGGACCCACACGGGGGAGAAGCCCTACAAGTGTGTGCTGTGCGAGAAGAGCTACAACCAGAGGTCCAGCCTCATCATCCACGAGCGGAGCCATACGGGCGAGAAGCCCTACTCCTGCCTGGAGTGCGGGAAGAGCTTCAGCCAAAAGGCCACCCTGGTCCTCCACGAGAAGAGCCACCGGGGGGAGAAGCCCTACAAGTGCCTGGAGTGCGGCAAGGGCTTCAGCCTGAGCGCCGACCTCATCCGCCACCAGAGCATCCATACGGGGGAGAAGCCCTACACCTGCTCCGAGTGCGGGAAGAGCTTCAGCCAAAACTCCCACCTCATGGCCCACATCCGGACCCACACGGGCGAGAAGCCCCACAAGTGCCTGGAGTGCGGCAAGGGCTTCAACTGGAGCTCAGAGCTCATCGCCCACGAGCGGACCCACACCGGCGAGAAGCCCTACCAGTGCCTCTACTGTGCCAAGAGCTTCAGCGTCCGCTCCAGCCTCAGCAAACATGAGCGGACCCACACCGGAGAGAAGCCCTTCGTCTGCTCCCAGTGCGGGAAGGGCTTCATCCAGCGCTCCAGCCTGGTGGCGCACGAGCGCTCCCACACCGGCGAGCGGCCCTACCTGTGCCTAGGCTGCGGCAAAGGCTTCCGGGAGAGCTCGCAGCTCATTGCCCACGAGCGGACCCACACCGGCGAGAAGCCCTACGTCTGCTCGGAGTGCGGCAGCTGCTTCAAAGCTAAGGCCGCTCTCCTCCGGCACCAGCGCGGTCACTTGGACCTGAACTCCTTCATCTGTGCTGACTGCGGGAAGATTTTCTCTTCAGCCGCCGAGTCCCCGGAGAAGTGTCCCGAGTGCGTGAACCTGAGCCTGATCTTGGATCTGTCGCAGGCGTCGGAAGAGGCCGATCTGGAAACGGCTGAAGGAGCGGGACAAAGCGACGGCGCTAAGATGTGAACGGGTGAGGCCGGCTGGGCCTTGGGTGTTCTGCTTTTTTCTGCCGGTCATAACGTCAGTTTCCCTTTCGGAGGGAGCGGATCCTGGCCAAAGGGACTGTGCCGCGGCTGACGGAGGACCGGTTTTGTCGACGGGAGGTGACTGGGGGCCGCTGAATACCTTCCCCTCAGATGTGATGGCCTTCGCAGCATTGGTTCCTGTTGCCAAACCAGGCCCATTTCAGACCCTTTGTGGGGGAACTGGAAATGCAGAGAGGACCAGAATCAAGTGGTTACGAAAATGAAAGAAAATGCCTGACATTTTAGTATCATCCTTTCCTACCCAGGGCCTAGAATGCAAGTTCCTCCAATCTACAGGAGATTTGGGTCTGGACCCACGGGACGCGCTTTTGAGGCTCTTTTTGGGGGGGGTGCACGGGCCCCCTTGCTGCCAATCTGAAGAGACTTCGGTTTCACAGAGGTGTGTTTTTTTTAATGAATTGTGCTGAACTTGTCAATGGATTTGAGCCGTAAAGAACTTTACCTCACTAAATCCTAGTGAAACGCTTGGAACCGGACTGGCCTTCGAATCGGGCTTGAGTCAGCCCGCCTGAGTGCAGAGCTGTTGTTTGCCTGGCGTCAAAAAAATAATAATAATAGTGTCACAACAGCAAAGGGGACATTAATGGAGGAGAACTGGTTTGGTCACATTGGACCTTGAGCAATTAATTCGATTCCTGTCTCTTTCCACATTTGCTTTAGATGGCAAGCTCCGCTGACTGTAGTTTTTCATTATTTATTTGATAGATAGATGGCTTTTTCTCCCTTTGGATGAAATGAGGGGGATTTGGTAGGACATCCCAATTAATGTGGGAACAATCAGTTGCAAGAAGCCTAGAACGAGAGGCCGTTTTCCAGATGGGCAGGAAAACATGATGTCTGAACCCAAATCTTTTTCAAGAAATCCGTTCTAGGTACATCCAGAAGGTGTGGCTCTGTTTGCCAGAGAGGGAAAAACGAAATTTAAACAGTTTTGCACTTAACTCCTTGGAGGTGGAAAGCTAGTAGCTCAGGGGGGCTAGTGCAAGGCTATCTCTTGCACTACTAGCAGTGAACCTGTTCCATAAATAAACCCATTTAGGCAGCATTTCTCCTCACGTCTGTCCTACCGCAGTGTGTCTCAACTTTGACAACTTTAAAATGGGTGGACTTCAAGTCCCAGAATTCCTCAGCTAGCCATGCTGGCTGGGGAATTCTGGGACTTGAGGTCCCCCCGTCTTAAACGTTGCCAAAGTTTTTAAAAAAGCAACAGTGGCATATGCCATCCATTAACCCCTTTGCCCTTCATACCTAAACCCAGCCTGTAGCCTTCCCTAACCTCAATTCTTGCTGACTGTGAATTATGGGAGTTGTAGTTACAACACATTTGAAGAGCAGGAGGTTTGGGAGAAGCATAGAATTCCAGATTTTATCTTTGTAAGTTAGGGGGTCCAGGAATTAATCAATTAATTGATTAATTCTCTCTCTCTCTCTCTCCCCGAAACAACTTCAGAGGATCTATATCTTTTCCTTCAAACAGTTCTGGGTAAATTCTAAGCTTTAGAATTGTCCGTGGCACGACAAAACCGCAGTCCACTAAAGCGCGCCCGATTAAAGCGCGTACCTGACGTCATCAGCAGCGCGACAAATACGACCGCGGAGAAAAGGGCGCTTTAAAAAGCCCTTTTAAAGCAAGCCGATTCACGTAAAGGTAAGGGTTAGGGTTAGGGTTAGGTTAAGGGTTAGGTTTAGGTTTAGGGTTACGTTAAGCGTTAGGGTTAGCGTTAGCGTTAGCGTTAGGTTTAGGGTTAGGTTAAGGGTTAGGTTTAGGTTTAGGGTTACGTTAAGCGTTAGGGTTAGCGTTAGCGTTAGCGTTAGGTTTGGGGTTAGGTTAAGGGTTAGGTTTAGGTTTAGGGTTACGTTAAGCGTTAGGGTTAGCGTTAGCGTTAGCGTTAGGTTTGGGGTTAGGTTAAGGGTTAGGTTTAGGTTTAGGGTTACGT